TTATACTCTTAATTTATATTTAGTATATATTTTACAGGTTCTCCGACGTTTTACAAACATCGTGGCAAACTTAACATACCCTGTTCAGGGTGTTCAGGGAATAATTGTAGTAGCGGTTACAGATATTCATTATCATAGAAATATGATACTAGACTCTTTGATTCGAGAGAGAGCTGTCAAAACTCGCATTTTTTATAACATTTGCCAGTGATGCCACTGCCGAAAAATGTTAGATTAGATAATGTAACTACATATTTAAAATAAGTAATAAATAGAAAAAAAAAAAACAATTCATAAGAAACATCGCATATTCAAGAGAAATATTTTCAATTCATATATATTCATTTAATTGCTATAACTTAAAATATAAATTACATATATATTGGATATATTTATATTGTGACCACAAACTTCTTTATTAGGGAAATTTTCGCTAAATTATACAAAACACTAAGTTAAACACTTTGAAAGTGCATATATAAATGTTAAAATGCAAAATCATTAACTAATTTACATAAAAATTAATGTTCGCATAATTTAATGAACGTTCATTTCACACTGATTTTGTCAGTTAATTATAGCGGTTTATTTCTGGCATCCCGCCTTTTCTGATATCAGCGTTTGAGAGAAAAGTGAGAGCCAATACGAGAGTCTCGTATCATATTATCCATGCCATTATACTCAATTAAACTACTACTATGTTAGACTACTAGGCTCTCTGCTCTATTAGTATGTAGTTATAAAAGGCAAGCTCCGCACAAATTAGTAGTTTAGTTTAATATAAAGCGTTGTGGTGTCTATTGAGTTAATAACTTTGAAAATGCTTTTATTGAAATCTATAGCAGCTGCTTTATGGATCTTAGCGTGTGTTACAAACTACGTTGAATCCGCAAAAATACTTGCTGTATTTCCTTTTCCGGGTCCTTCGCAGTATATTTTGGTGCAGTCGTATTTGAAGACACTGGCGGCACGCGGACATGAAGTCACTTCGGTTTCGGCGTTTCCGCAAAAAACACC